TCAATTTACCCGATATGGTTTATCGCAGATCACGTGTTGATGCGCCCGATTCAGGGGCTTGGCACGCCTTTGAATACTAACCACAAAGAATAAGAGTACCTCATAGGGATTTGAGTACATTCATATCAGAAAACACTAGACTCGACATATATCATCACTACTAGTGTGTTCCCATCATTCAATCAAAATCAATCAAATGTCAAGAATTAACAGATTTGGACTTAAATCCGGTCACTAGCAAACGGATGGGTTTCCGAGACTACGAAACGGGAGTTTTTTTGGTCCAAATCTCACTATGTGATAGTATGATAAAAGCCTGGAGCGGCGAGCCTGATTGACTACAGATCTTCAATACAACAGTGCCCGCCCTCAGGCTATGTTCCGCAGAAGGCTGTAACTGCGTCGACTGTCCTCTCTCTGCTTGAAGTCCCGCCCTAAGTAACGCTGCCGTCTCTATGCCCTCCAGTATAACTGCAAGCCGCGCCCGGTGTTGCAATATATACGTATACTACCTGACACTCTCTATCAGCACTCGTTCCAAGAAGCGAATTGGCCGCCGCTGTCCTGTCGTGGACTTCACGATTCCGCACTGGCTTTTGGAGATAGGATGCCCAAAAGCCACAACGAGATTGTGTTACGATGCAGATCATTGTGGGGTGAGGATGTGGCGGCAGACATGACACATTGACACCCCGCCGGACGGAGTAAGCGAGGTACAAGGAAAGAAGCGATGCCCAACATAAAAACTCAATGACAACGGAATAATATGTATTGCCTGCCACCCCAGGTCAACGGCCTCGCATAGCGAGCGTCCGATTCGAAATTCTCACATGGTGATCTGGTGTCGTCGCCTAAATACGGGCGCTGAGATGATTACGGCGCTATCTGCTACGAGGCCTACTTCGCCGGCGGTCACTGTCATTCTCGATACTTATGTACCATGATCAGGCACACATTTCGTACGTGCGGCTTCGGGAAAACACAATCAACACGATGAACCTAGCGGCCTGCTGGCTGGTCGGGCATCGGGATCAGGCGTATCCACCCTAAGTTTGACTCCCTTCATCGACTTCATCGTACCTTAGACATTCCGGAAACGTGAAGGTTGCTGCGCGCTTCACTTGAGCTTTATTTTTCACAAGAGCGCCGGGCATTTAGAGAAGTGTATCGAATGTTCTGGCGTCAGGGCGCAGGTAGTGGAGTTTAAAAGGCTTCGCACGGACAGATAAACGTAAAGAGAAATGAATGGAATATGCCGTGCAACCATTGCAATAGGGTGTTTTGAAACTGAAACTTTGAGCCCAACTGAAGGCCCAACTTTACCCCCCACTTGATTCTCAATGTGCAAAATTGGGAGCTCAAGTTGGATTTAAACACGGTGTCGCCTAGCCTTAGGCAGGCAAGCGAACGCATAACTTGGCAAGTTGGGCATTCCGCATCACAAGCCCAGGATGAAATAGGCGAAGTTGGAACGTTAGGTTAGGCATCTAGCTGGGTAGCGGATGTCAAGTCGTGGATTTGTGCACGACTTGGCATCCATTGGGTTTTGTGTCCTAAATCTTAATCATAAGCCTCCCAACGAGTTCCACCGCAAATTTCAGCCGCATTTGCGCCAAAACACTTCAACCGGCCTTAAGTTTTCAACTCGATCCCACAAAGTGAATAGGTCATTTGACTCGGGTTGTTGTTCATTTTACCTCGGAAGCTGTGAGACCATCACTCGTCCCTGAAATTAATCTATCCTGAGCCTAGACCGATGAACGTCGTCCCCATGTCTGCCAAGCACTTCGAACGTTCATATCGGTAAATTATGTCTACCCTGAATAGAATGGAGGTACGAGGGCACGTGCCCATGGCTACAGAACGATATAAAGGCAGCATCCAAACCAGAACTCGAATCACTGCGGCCCTCATCGAAGCACATTTGAGAAGTCCAACATGTATATGCAAAAATTCGCCCTCTTCACTGTTCTTGCTGTTTTATCCGTCGTAAACGGGCAGCAGAAGGAAGAGTGGTTGTGCAATTGCACCACAAATGGCCAAGCCAACCCGGCGACCACCAAGCAGTGCTGTGCTCAAGCACCAGGGGCCTTCCTCCCCGGGCCCCCGGTACGTACTTGCTCCTTACATCGTATCGCCTTTGCTAACGGGTGTTAATTTCAAATGTACAGCCTGAGTGTGACGTCTTTGGCACTCCTCTCGCAGGCCCGGCGCAAAACTTCATCAACTGCTGTGTCAATTTTGAAGGAGGGTTCTGCTGCGTCCCAGCCAATGGGACCGGGACCGTAAACTGAAGAAAAGAGGTGTGCTTTTGCCTTTGAAATTTAGAGGTTATCTTCGTTGACACGTCCGCACTGGCAGGGCAATCTGTAACAGGCGCGCAAAGAGAGATCTGAGTATTCGTGCTTAGGGTTTTATGGAGAGGCTTGAAGAGATCGTTTGTTGTAATGTCTGTGTAAATCGATGTTTGGAAAATCCTTGTCAGCAAGAAGTAATCGATAGCTAAGATTTAGTTGACAACGTACTGCAACAGCCCCGGATATCCGGACACGGGACCGGTGCCGTGTCATTTCCTTATGTAACTTTGATCCGCCACACCAATTCTGCTTCCACCACTGGCATTTGACTGGCATGTCAGATACTTGCCCGACACCGTTTACACTGGGCTTTCGTCTGGCAGGCTCTATGGAGGGCCTGGGCGCCGTACTATCTCGCCATAAACTCTCACCGTTCACGACATATCGGCAACGCTCCTGGTGCATGAATCGCACCTCCAAAAAGTCAATGCTCGAACTCTAGAGGTAGGTTATCTTTTTCATGATTTTATTTCATACTGTGCTGGTATTCTTAGAAATGGCCGATTTCATTGATGCCGACAACCCAAACGTCGGGTTCTCAGCAATAAGATCGATGGGTCGATGTCTCAAGTATGTTTATTTTGGTTCCCATGAACTATTCTATATCCCTTCTTGACACCCCCATGATCTTTCTACCATGCAATTCAGGGACAGGTTTTCGCATATATCATCCACACCTGTGTGCTGCTGGGGCTCCTGTCTTTGTTGTCATTCTGGGTGAATACACTCATTTCTTATGCTACGCATCCACAGTTATTCTGCACGCCATTCCTCTGAGCCTATGAAGATCGCTACCTCGGCTCGCGTAGCTGCTCCTCGATTCTGTGTTCCACGCAGCCGGCACCCGCATGAAGGGCATGGCATCCAGGAAGGAGGCGCACGAGTCTCAAAAGGCCTTGGCCACTGCGCAGGAGGCAATTCTCGTGAAGTGGATCGAGCTCTCCCGCTTAGCGTTATGATCAGGTAATGGGAAAGCGTGGCCTGCCGCTCTCAATGGAGACAGTCAAGCAGGTGCCGACATTGCTGGCTACACGCTTTGGGAAACCTGGGCGCGAAGCTTCAAGGTGAATTGAGCGAATGCTAAGTACTTTGAAGGATGCTGATAGAATGACAGGCACGTTATTATGACGAGCTGCGTGTCAGATGGACACACTCTCTTGAATTGTCACCGACGAGGAATGGCGCGATAGGGCGGGAGTGGACGGCCCCTTGATGCGCGCAGCTTTTCCTTTTCCAGACGCAGCGACCGAGCAGGTGCCGTACTGGAACGACCTCTCGAAGCTAGGCACGATCGTTTGAGAGGGTAGCTACTGCACACAAGCAGTACGTCGGCGACAGAGTTAGGTCTATGCATGCAGGCTCACGCATGCGAGGCAGCCCTTCCGGAAACGTGTGGTTCAAGATGATCGCAGGCAAGATGGACGTTGCAGCGCCTCCGGATTTCTGGGTGCGGTGCGAGAGTCCGTGTGGCAAAAACACCCTACGCCCGGGAGGAGTTCCGCAAGCGGCCGCTCGTCACATACGTCTCAGGCTCGCGGCAGGCGTTTGGACGGCGCCTCGTCGCGGCGGACCATGATGCACTCCGCGAGCTCGAGGCGGACGGCGGGTGCGATTTCAAGCTCGCGGCCTTCGAGTACATGTCGCCCGGGAGCAGGTTGAGCTTGCGGCGAGAAGCACCGTGGGTTTATTCCCGCAGCGTTATTCCCGCAGCGAGACTACAGCGGCTGGTGGGCGTGCCGCCAATGGGCTGACGGTGAACGTTTCATAGCTGTGCTGGGCGCCGGCTAATGTCGGTCGCAGCACCAGTTGTGGATGTCACGGTCGCTGTTGTCGACGATAGAGATTATGAAATGGTGGCGAGAATCATGGGTCATTGGGTGAGCCCTCACGCACATGCGCTGATGTTGATCATGATTGACGGATAGCAATACGCCCTCTGGACCGATACGTTTTTTAATTTCGAACCTGGAACATACCACGAGGTGCAGGTGATACCATTATAGATGTCACTTACTGTAAGTGTCTCCTACCTACATACAGGCGCGCAATATCCGGAGGGATTTCAGGGCGTGACATTGATTGCTGTACATTGTAGAGATTATCAGAAGGCGCCTGGACGAACCCCTGGTCACCCAGGTTAATGTCTGACCGCTTTGCTCGTATGCTGGGGTGTCTTAATAATCACAAATTCATGATATCTATCACACGTAGGAGCCAGCTTGGAGGTCAAGCTTGAATAAGCCAAAGCCGTGGCCAAGTCATAAATTGCTTCCCCAAGCCAGCCTTGACGGCTTGAAGTCAAGCCGGCATATCATTGATGCCGTTGCATGTGCAGTTACGGAGTCGACGTACCGTCAGAGTGGCGTTTTATTCAAGCGCCAAAGCGTAGTAAACCCGCGCAAGTGGCCTACGAGCGGGAAGTCGTCCTCACCAGTGAAGAACATGGTAAGCGTCTCTCTAGACTTTCTATTCCCGATCGCCAGAAGAACGATTTTCAAAGATTAGGAGGGACATATGCATGAGTGCCAGTGTGATTGTACGGCTAATGTCATTTTGAAGGACTGTATTGTTCTTTCTATGGTGCCCTTCTGATCGTGAGTCGTGACGGTGCACTCTATTCGTGGGGTGACTTAAGTCGCTGGGAGCAGCATGGCGCAGATGGAAGCGCGCGGGGCCCATATAAAATGTATGTCCGTCGTGTATTACCCCGAGGTCACTCGATCGAAACGAGTTGCTGCTATTTCTTTTTCTCTCATTATAATACGAGTACAGTGGCCGTCATCTGATATCTTTGAGTAACCACAATCAACATGGTTCCAGCGCGGAACTGCCGAAATTTGACAACCTTAGAATGTTCAACGACGAATTCCGCCGGCGAAGCTCAAGCTTAAGGGCATTGGCGCCGCCTGCCACGGTTCGCCGTTGCGTACTATCCCATTCCGTTAGACGACGCAACGCGTGCCCAGGTTTGAATTACTGCGCTTCTATGCGGGGGGAAAATCCAGGCAGAAAATCAATTTGACCATCGAACGATTGTTCGACCGATCAAGAATTGCAATTGACACAATAATGGAACTGGTACGGTATAAATAGTGCGGGCCTTGAGTTGCACCATTGCGCGTTAAATTGATGTACTTATAGTTCTGGAGAAATGGATACCATGCTTACACTCCTCGATAGGCCCATCCCTGAGTCGAACGGGAACTTAGATTTCTGGAGATGAGCACTGCGCTACCGAGCCGTCTTCCGCCGGCTCAAAGTCAAATATGAAGCAGACATTATGGCATACAGCAATCTGTGTGTAATTTACACGTGCACGCTGAGCTCGCTCCTTGGAGCATTTGGTGTCGAATACTCTGAGACCAGTAGCACGTAAGTGGCTTAGTTCGAACTTGCTATTACATAAAACATCAGATGTTGACGTTGGGTTTCGTGTGCCAGTGCTTATTAGTATTATAGAAGCCCTCTCTAGTAACCTTGCGAAGGGCAGTTAGAATCCACCGTCTGGCCAAATGCTCCAAGGAGCCTACTGGTCCCAGTTCAATGTGCACGTAGTTTTCTCCCGTTTCGCAAACTTTTGCTGCATTTGGTTAGGAAAGAATAATGTTTGATTTGTGGGTATTTGGATTTTTTCGTTCGATATGCAACCTGATGTCCGGTTGTACAGTAGAAAGACAAACTGGCCGCTCGCACGTCCGGTGTCAATCCGGGAGAGATTTTCGATACACACCTAAAAGCGACTTCCCTCGTGTGATCGTGGAGGTCATATCAAAGCTGATGATGATCGCATTTCATGCTCGTTCAAGGGGCGTGCTTGGTTCGACTCGCCGGGGCTGTGAGTGGGCTGTGTAGCTGTCAAACAGAACTTGAAGCAAACACCTTCGCAAAAAAAGGCAAAGAGTTAGAGAAGCAATCTGGTACGGTTTTGGCGGCCTGTGAATGCAAAGACTTGAATGAGGTCGGGGTCTGCGACGAATCTGGCATTCGATTCTGTAGAGTACAACAGCGTATCTGTTCAATTCTTGACAAACACCGATCCCTGGCTGATTTCTGGCCTCAAAATCGCTTCAAGAACCGAGGCCGAAATCGCCATCAGAATTGAAGTCGCCTGAACGCTTTAAATTCTCAACTTGCCTCTGTAGTTAGTATTCCGAAAAGTGTTGCATCCAAATAATATATTGCAGTGATCCTAATTAAACCTCTCGCTTTCAAGTTGGAATCTGAGCTCGCTTCAAGGCAATTCTGTGTGTCATTTCGGCTCTCGATAGCTGTAGGTCAGGACCAGAAACACGGGTAGTGGCGCGGCGACGCGCAGTCCCCAGATTAGAAAATGACCGTCAAAATTGCTACAAGATCCCATTATAAAAATATCAAAACAACTAGCTTTACAACTAAGTTTGTGTCCAGGAAGTGGGACGAGATGAAAACATTATTTGTTAAATATATTCGAGTGACCGCAAGTAGAATATCTCACTCGAGGACAACTTGAAGTACAGTGTGTTTGCGGTCCGGCGCGAGGGGAAATTTTTGTCGAGAAATCCGAGCGGCGGAAGATCAGGGCAAGCTTTGCGAGGTGTCAGGAAGAGCGTCGCTATGCCGAAATGGCCTGGGAAGGCAGGTCTGGAAATGGGACCGTAAGCAACCCGAGCCTAAGAGGGAAGAGAGGATGGGGCGAAAAGCTGAGGTTTTCGATGACTGGCAGGAAGAAACTTTGGAGCGTCTGAAGACGGTAGGCTGAAGGAAGCCCAAATCTACGGCTGTGCCTCCCAGACCACGACAGCAGTCTCGGCATGCACAGCTGGATGCATCACTCTGCCGGCTACCCGCCTTCAAGTTAGCTCTCAATTAGGTACTATCCCCCCCTGCCGCCCCGGACACACAGTTCTCACTGAATACCGAACCGTTTTCCGAGATATCGATGTTTGGTCAAACAGTAGTTTACGGACCAGATATCCCTACATAAGTTCAAAAAAAATTGCACTATCTGACCTCAGACCCATCTTCCACTCCTGAAAAGATACCAGGTGGTGCGAATTTGGTTAAATTTTGCGATTTCTGGCCTCAGAATGCTTCATCCATAGTACTAGTCGGTTTATACTGTAGTACTTATATGTACATATCATATAAGTAGACTTCCATGGTGCCCAGGTGGCTTGAATTCATCAACAGGAGACCAAAAATAGAGGGTATGTATATGTGCGAACTTGAACTTTGAACACATTTGTTCAAAGTGTGGTCGCAAAATCCACGTCGCCTGCCAACCCGTCACAGACTGGGGTACAAAGAAATTTTGGATTGTCTTGTGGATAAAAGGATATTCTCACATTTTGCTGAGGTGTCCAAGCACTGGGGGAGGGATTAACGTGTTATGTACACGACGCATGTGTTATTGATGGCGCTAATTAGGCGGCTCGGTCACCAGTTTAGTACCCGCCATCGTCTTCTTCCTTTGCAGGAACATGATTGACACCGTACCCTCCTTCGAGCTACCTTAACTTCCCCAGAGTCATGATCAAGCGCTACCTTATCTGCTGCAGCGCTCGCAGAGCCCTAATGCTCGGGCTCGTTGCGGCCGCACTCACCACACTCGCACTCGTTGCGTACCTAAGGTCGGAGTCAGGGCTGCCAGTGCGTCTGCGCCTGTCGGAGCCAGATATCCCACACCCCATACCCCATAGCCCGTCACTGCCTGACCCCGATTCCCTGTCCCAGCCCTTCGCCCAGGAAAGCGACTCGCCCCAGCCCCAACCCTGGTCCCAGGAGGACGATGCGGGCTTACGTGTGCTACAGCACACGAAGGTCCCCGGTGGCGCGCACATTCACGGTTTCACGGTACTCGACAAGCTCTACCTCCGAAACGGCACTTTCTATGTCGTGACCCCCGATCGTGCATCCTTGCCACCTCGGAACAGGCTGCTTTCAAGGCCGGTTGAAAGAGAGGGCGGCGCGAAATACGAGCCATCCGACGAGGTGAGGTGTTGTGCACGTGCATATAGTATACTTATCGCGCAATATCTCCAGCACTTGCAGTACATCCACCCGGACGAGGCTGCTGATGTGCTAGGAGAGTGCATCACTCAAGTCGATGGCCTTTCTGTTATCGTGTATGACCCTGCGCAATTCATGAAGGTTTGCACGGGCTCGAGTTTTTAGGATGCTTTACAACAGCCTTTCCAGCATTTTTATCATTGGTTTGGGGAGATCATTCTGGGTGCATGGCGCGTCTATTCTCACATCCTGCTCGACGGGGAAATAACGGTGCTTCCGCTCCCTCGCCGCTTTATTCTTCCTGTGCGTCCCAGTTCAAGCAAGAACGTAACTCATCACTCATAGTTTATCACGAACGAGGAATGGCGCGATAAGGCGGGAGTGGACGGCCCCTTAATGCGCGCAGCTTTTCCGGACGCGGCGATCGAGCAAGCGCCGTACTGGAACGACCTCGCGAAACTAGGCACGACCGTCGTGTTTGAGAGGGTACTGCTCGTCAGTCGGAGTTCTGCGCACACGCAGTAAGTCGGCGACTGGGTGACGTCCATGCATGCTTGCTTATGAAGACGTGACAGCCCTTTCGGATCGAAGTGGTTCAAGATGATCGCAGGCACGATGGAGCTTCCCGCGCCACCGGATTTCTGGGCGCCAGTGCGAGAGTCCGTGTGGCAAAACATCCTAGGCCCGGGTGGGGTTTCGCAAGCGGCCGCGCGCCGCCCGCTTGTCACGTACGTCTCGCGGCAGGCGAGCGGACGGCGTCTCGTCGCAGAGGACCACGACGCGCTCGTCGAGGCACTCAGCGAGCTGGAAGCAGATGGTGTGTGCGATTTCAAGCTCGCGGCCTTCGAGCGCATGTCCCTGCGGGAGCAGGTTGGGCTTGTGGCGAGAACCACAGTGCGTTTATTGCTATTTCTCCCGAAGCGAGATGAAAGCGGCTTCCCAGATCATGGTGGGTGTGCATGGCAATGGGTTAACGGTGAGTGCTTCGTCCGTTTGTGCTGGGCACAGGTTAATGGCGGCTGCAGCACCAGTTATGGATGCCGTCGTCGCCGTTGTCGACGACGATAGAGATTTTTGTGCCTAAAGGTAAGATGCTACGCCACAGGAGCACTGTTCACGTCTATCATAGGTTATGTATTTGATTATGAATTATTGGCGAGAAACATGGGCCATCGGGTGAGCCTTGGCATCTGTTCACGCACATGTGCCGTCGCACCGAGGCTGATTGAGGGGTAGCATTATGCCGTTTGGAACGATACGTTCCTTACTTACGAACCTGGAACATACCACGAGGTGCAGGTGCTGCGGACCCTTATAGATGTCACTCATGTGTCTCCTACTGACAGGGCGTGCAATACCCGAATGGATTCCACGGCCAGATGATTCCTGTACACGGACCAACTATTGCCGAGATAATCAGAAGGCGCCTAGACGAGCCCCCGGTCACCCAGGTTACTCTCTAACCACTTTGCATACGAAACAACCCCTGGCGAACTATGCTGGTCCCAATGCACATCAAGCGGGTAGGGTCGACAAGCGGCATGGCCCACACTATCTTTAACAGGATGCTTCATAATTTATTTGTTTTCTGTAATAACAACTTTGGCAAATCTTTACGCATCACAAGGTGTTATCCCTTCTTTGTCATGTAATTTATGTATTTCCGCCACATCGAAGCACTTCCATCACCTTGAAAAAACTTCTCTACATTGCAAGTCCTTCTACATTAATCAGAAGCTTTTCGCTGATGTA